TGGAAAACAACAGATTTAACAGACACTCGTCGGAGCCTATAATTGATCGTAATGATTCATGACCCTGACAAGTAAACAAAAGTTAAGCAACATAGAATCTCATTTCCATCCCCTCCGCTCTGCTGAGCAAATGAAATCACGTCAATCCTGCAGCCTGAGCTGGTGTGTGTGTTATAGAGGTGTCTGTCGACACACACCACTGTCATGAGAGATCTCACTCTCTCTATTCAAGTCCATTTCAATGTGCTTTATCGGTGTGACTGGTTTACAAACAAGGTTGACAAAGCAGAAATGGACATGTCAGAGAAAAACAGTGACAGACAAAAGGTGCCGGAAATTAAATGAAAATAAATTCAATTAAATTGATGAAATAATGAAATGAAGTGAAGTGAAATAAATTAAATTAATTGAAAATAATTAAATAAAAAAACCTGATGAAATTAAATTAAATGAATTGAATTAAATTAAATTAAATTAAATGAATAAAAAATTACATTAATTAAACAATACAAAAACATGTTGTTTTTGTCTCTCTATGTAATAGTCCAGGTTCCTGGTCCTGCTCCTAACCTCCATGCAGTGGTCACGTCCCCCACCACAGTGAGTCTCAGCTGGGACGTGCCCCTCATAGGCAATGGAGAGATCCTAAACTACAAGATCTACCACATGGAGAAGGGCATGGATACTGAGCAGGTAAAACTCATCCTTCACCTCCGCCACCTCCTCTTTCAACTCCACCTTCACATCCACCTTCACCTCCTTTTCCCCCTCCACCTCCTCTTCTACCTTTACCTCCACCTTCACCTTTTCCTCCACCTTCACATCCACCTCCTCCTCCACCTCCCCCGCCACCTCCTCCTCACCTCCACATCCACCTCTACCTCCTTTTCACCTCCTCCTCCACTTCCACCTTCACCTCCTCCTCCACCTCCTCCTTCACCTCCTCCTTCATTTCCACTTCATCCTTCACCTCCTCCTTCACCTCCACATCCACTTTCACCTCCACATCCACCTCCTCCATCTCCATTCCACCTTCACCTCCTCCACCTCCTCCTCACCTCCACCTCATCCACCTCCTCCTTCACCTCCACATCCACCTCCTCCTCCTCCCCTCCACCTCCACATCCACCTCTACCTCCTCTTTCACCTCCTCCTCCACCTCCTCCACTTCCACCTTCACCTCCTCCTCCACCCTCCTCCTTCATTTCCACTTCATCCTTCACCTCCTCCTTCACCTCCACATCCACTTTCACCTCCACCTTCACATCCACCTCCTCCATCTCCAATTCCACCTTCACCTCCTCCACCTCCTCCTTCCACCTCCACCTCACCACCTCCTCCTTCACCTCCACATCCACCTCCTCCTTCATCTCCAATTCCACCTTCACCTCCACCTCCTCCTTCACCTCCATCTCATCCACCCGCCACCTCCTCCTCCCCCTTCACCTCCTCTTCCACCTCCTCCTTCACCTCCACACCACCTTCACCTCCTCCTTCACCTCCACTTTCACCTTCACCTCCTCCTTCACCTCCCATCCACCTCCACTCATCCACCTCCTCCTTCACTCCAAATCCAGCTCCTCCTTCATCACCAATTCCACCTCCTCCTTCACCTCCATCTCATCCACACTCCCCCTCCACCGCCACCTCCTCCCTCCCCTTCACCTTCACATCCACCTCTACCTCCTCCTTCACCTCCTCCTCCACCTCCTTCACCCCAACTCCCCTTCACCTCCTCCTCCACCTCCACATCCACCTCCACCTTGACCTCTCCTTCACCTCCAACTCCCCCTTCACCTCCTCCACCTCCTCCTTCACCTCCTCCTCCACCTCCTCCCTTTACCTCCACCTCCACTTCCCACCTTCACCTCCTCCTTCACCTCCACATCCACCTCCTCCATCTCCAAGTCCACCTTCACCTCCACCTCCTCCTTCACCTCCACCTCATCCATCGCCTCCTTCACCTCCACATCCGCCTCTTCCTTCATCTCCAATTCCACCTTCACCTCCACCTCCCCCTTCAGCTCCACATCCTCCTTCACCTCCTCCTTCATCTTCACCTCCTCCTCCACCTTCTCCTCCACCTCCTTCTTCACCTCCACTTCCACCTTCACCTCCTCTTTCACCTCCTCCTTCACCTCCACCTTCACCCAGCCTCTGTAATATCATTCATGTATTATACACATGTATATTTATATCATAAAATATGTCTAATTGTTAGTATCTTTCTAAATATTTGCATTTTTATAGAAAATTTCAATCCGTGCAGTCTCTGTGTATAACAACTCCGCTATTTGCTGCCTATATCTCTCTCACCAGGATCTGGATGTGAACACACTGTCCTACACCATGACTGGACTGAAGAAGTTCACGGAGTACAGTTTCAGAGTGGTGGCCTACAACAAACATGGACCTGGAGTCTCCACTGAGGACCTTTCTGTGCGCACATACTCGGATGGTACAGTAAATCTTCTCTTTTTGCTTCGTCCTGCTAGTCAGTTTCCACCACTCCTCCACTAATTTTGCTCCTCAAAACAACCATGATAAGGGGTATAGCCTTACTAGGCTATAAACCAGCTCTCATCTATATCCCTGTTGTAGCTGCGTCAACAGAGCAATATCAGCAGGCTCCAAAAATAACTTAATGCCATACCTTTCAATGTTGAGTGAATTATAGTGAAACTATGTTATGGTGTTATTACTATATACTTCAACTGGGACTCGCAAGCTTCTAGACACTTACATTTTTTATGCTCTCTGTAAAATTAGGCCATTTTTCTGAAGGTTGCTGTGAAATGGAGTCCTTTTCTAAATTGTGTTATTATGAACAAAGGCAGGGCTTGACATTAACACCGGATTTTATCAGTGGCGTATAACGCAGTCACTCCTTCTAGCCACTTTGGTGGGATAAATTTCAAAATGAGGGATGATCAATTGTAGTCTTTTAAAAAGCTATCTGAAATTATAAACTAAGTGTAATGTAGTGTTGTCAAAAATACATTTTACGTTACATATCGATACTCAAAAAGTCTGAAACGCTTACAATACTAATTTTCCGCAGAATAGATACACGATACCAGCTGCTCTTTCTCTCTCTCTCATCTCTCCAACAGCGAGTGACACACAGACCCGCCTCTCCTCACTCACTCGTTTCATTTGATGAATATTGTTGCTGTTACAGGGCTTGAATTTCGGTGTGGGATTGCACGTATTGGGCAGAATTTTACTAATTTGTGCGCGCACATAAAGGGCTAAATTGGGTTCTTTTTCGCTACTTAAATACACACAAAATGATGTCAAAATGCCGGTCTTTATCAGTATTCACGTAAACACAGTCGGTTATGTTTTAAGTGAACGTAAACCGTTGAGAAAGAAAACGCATGTGTAACAGTATAAGGGATCCGTGCATCTGGTCTTAAAGTGACAGCAGCCTAATAAACCTGCTGCCAAATTATGAGACAATATTACAAATATATTCATGCCATTTTTTCCCCAAAAGTTAAAATTATGGCTTGTGAAAATGTTGAGTTGCGCAGTGGCTGGTGAGCAACAAATTGAATGTCAAGCCCATAGTGCTTTGAGAAACATGAAAGTAGCCATTGACAATAGTTAAATATATAGTTTAGTGGTCATCATATAAAACGAGTTGACTGCTCAGTACTGGCATTAAAGGGGACATATCATGCAAAATCCACTTTTTTAGTCCTTAAATGCAGTTTGTTGTATATTTGGGGTGTTTATAAGTACAGAAAAGATGAAATTATTCTCTTCAGGTGCTTCGTTTATATCTTTATATTCTGTTTTGGTCATATTTTTCAACCTGTTCAGATTTTTCTGTTCTCTATTACGTTTTTTTTGAACAATTACCTCACAGTATTTGCAGCAGAACTGACAAATAATGACATCGACTACCGGTCCAACACTTCGAGCAATCCGCCATTATTATTTCTCACTCCGATTTTGTAGTCCGAGCTCAATGATGCAGAAGTTATGAGAGGGAAAGTCAAAATGTTCGGTTGTTGGATGTAGTGACCCGAAGCACTTCAAGGATCCCCACTTCAACAACCTCACCCAGTATAAAGAAGGGTTTGCCGATTGACTTCGTCTGAATGAGTGG